CACCGCCGGAGCCCGGGAGGGGAAGTGCCCGGCCGGCGGCTGGGGTCCGGAGGCAAGGGGACTGCCTGAAGCCCATAGCGCTCGGGTAGCTCGGCTCATAAACAGAGCCGAAGCGCCAGGGGAGGAGCAGAGAGGCGCGGGAGGGGAAGTGCCCGGCCGGCATTTTCTCGGACATGTTCGGCTTTTTGGCAATTCCCCCCGGACAGGGGTTTGATTGCCGAAAAGCCGGACATGTCCGGGGAAAAACGGACATAACCCTAAATATGGCCCTTGCCGTTTTACGAGTTGTGCAGGCCTGGTCTAGACAGAGAGAAGGAAAGTTCTCGCTGCTGGGCCCCTCTGATTTGTCACTAGAAAATCAGTTTTGCTTCTCATGTTCTCTCGCTTTCTGGGCAACACTTTTCATGCACAGGATATGGCTCGTGGGAAGGGAAGCCCCCTCTCTTCCCATTAACCCCTCACCTTCTGCAGAAGCCAGCGTAAGCACAAGCAGCAGGCAAGCAGCCATTTCCTCTACAAGATAACGGGACAGCTGCCAAGAAGTCAAATCACATGATTAGGACAGAATTCTAGAGTGAGTTTTAAAGAGACAAGCTTCCACCTCCAGTCACTGAGTAAAAAAGAGGCCAGAGGGGAAAGTTAGCAGGATTGGGGGTGGGGTGGGGGGCGGGTTGGACACCAGTGGACATAAGCTGGTGACAGCAATAGTGGGAAATCAGGGGGAGGGGGAAGTGTCTAGCACAGACACAGCCCTTTCTTACCAAAGCCCCCAGATGAACAGGGACAGGTCACACTACTCACAGAACCAAAGCCAATGGGTACAAGTGAGTTTAGGGCAAAAATCTCGTGTGCCTCAAAGCCAGGGGCTTGGCACAGAGCAGCTGCGGAGCCACTAATGAGCTTGACCAGCAGCCACCACACATTAGACTCCTTCACACGGGCTCTCCCCAGCAGACGCCCCTGTGTTTGGGGCCTTCCTGAACCCCAGGAAACCCAGGTGGCCCTCGGCCCTATCACTACAGTCAGGCTCAGCCTGGTGTCAGCCCCGTGGATGACCAGCTCCTCCAAGCAACCGGGCCAGACGTTCCATAGTTCTGACGCCAGCAAAGGGCCCACAGAGCCAGGCGAGGCTTAGGGTTGCCAACCCTCCAGGACTGACCTGGAGTCTTCAGGAATTAAAGATTAATCTTTAATTAAAAGATTGTCATGTGATGAAATATCCAGAAATACATCCAACCAAAACTGGCAACCCTAGCGAGGCTGCAGGCAGCCCATGGAGAGCTCAGCCAGGTGGGCATTGCTTGGGCACACAATGGTGAGACTCCCGCCTCCCAACGCTCCTGTATAGGGGATGAGCAGCCAGGGCACATGGGAGGGAGCTGAGCCTGGGGCGTGGGCACGGTGCCAAAGGCTGGCCTTGGGCAGGCTGCTCGTGGGCAGGGGGTGAGCCAAGGCCCACAGGAGGGAGCTGAGCCTGGGGCGTGGGCACGGTGCCAAAGGCTGGCCTTGGGCAGGCTGCTCGTGGGCAGGGGGTGGAAACCAGGTTTGGGCCCCGCCTGGCTGGTTCTGGGCCAAGGCCTCATGTTCCAAGCGGGAGCCAAACCCGCTTCCCCGCCCTGGTGCTGGCATGGTGGGTCGCTGCAGCCAGGCCCCCCCTGCCTCTCCACTGCCAATGGCCTGGCATGGGCAAACCGGGTCCCAGCTGGGGGCGGGGCCTATAGGGAGATGGGCGGGGCCGGGTACTGCTTCGCGTTTGTCCCTTCCCGGGCACCAGCCCAAGCCGGTGGGAGGGGCGGGGTCTTGTTGCCAGGCAACAGAAGCGTCCAAGGAGCGGCCGAGTGCAGCGGCGGAGCGGTAAGAGCCCGCCCGAGGGCCGAGGCCGTTAGTGCCCCGGGCCGGGCACCGGACTCCCGTCGTGGGGGCGCCGGCCTGGAGCGAGCCGTGTCTGAACGGGTGGGCTCGCAGGGACCTCGCCCCCCCCCCCACCCACACACTGGGCCGGGCGCAGGGTGCAGCTCGGGACCCCCTGGGACTCCCCTCCCCCCCACACACACACTGGGCTGGGCGCAGGGTGCAGCTCGGGACCCCCTGGGACTCTCCTCCCCCCCACACACACACTGGGCTGGGCGCAGGGTGCAGCTCGGGACCCCCT